AAGAACCATAAGATTCTTCAATTTAAGGATTTTTCATGTACTGCTTGTTTTGAAGGAAAATTAATTAAAAGACCTTCAATTGTGAAAGTGGGAATTGAATCTCCTATTTTTCTTGAATGTATCGAAGGAGATATATGTGAACCTATCCATCCACCATATAGACCATTCAAATATTTTATGGTTTTAATAGATGCATCTACAAGATAGTCACATGTGTGTTTGTTATCAACACGTAATTTAGCATTTGCTAGATTACTTGCTTAGATAATTTGATTAAGAGCACAGCATTTAGATTATACAATTAAGACAATTCATCTTGATAATGCGAGTGAATTTTCATAGCAAATTTTTGATGAATATTATATATCAACAGGAATAACAGTTGAAAAATCTGTTGCTCATGTCCACACTCAAAATGGTTTAGCAGAATCATTCATTAAACGTCTCCAATTAATAGTTAGACCAATGCTCTTAAGGACAAAACTTTCTATTTTCACATGGGGACATGTGATTTTATATGTAGCAGCACTTGTCCGCATTAAGCCAACAAGTTATCATAGCTTTTCCCCATTACAATTGGCTTTTAGTCAGGAGTCAAATATTTCCCATCTTATAATTTTTAGATCTACAGTGTTTGTTCCTATTGCTCCACCACAACGCACAAACATGGGACCTCAAATAAGGTTCAGAATATATGTTGGTTTTGAATCTCCTTCTATAATCAAGTATCTAAAACCATTAACTGGAGATTTATTCACGGCACATTTTGACGATTGCCATTTTGATGAAACAATTTTCCCATCATTAAGGGGTGAAAATAAGCAGCTGGAGAAAGAAATTACATGGAGTGAATTATCATTATCTTATCTAGATCCTTGTACAAAGCAATGTGAACTTGAAGTTAAAAGAATAATTCATCTGCAAAATCTTGCAAATCAATTGACATATGCATTTACTAACCTTAAAAGAATTACCAAATCTCATATTCTAGCTAAAAATGTTCCTATTAGAATTGATGTCCTAGTAGGATAATTAGAAAGTACAAATAAATCTATGCCATGTCTGAAATTAGGTAGACCAATTGGTTCTAAAGATAAAATTCCTAAAAAGAAAAAAGGAACACAAAATAAAGATGGTATTGTAAAGGAGGCTAGTACTCTAGAAGAGTACGGAGACATAACTAATCAAAATATCCCAAAAGAGGTCCAGGTACCTGAAGATAATGAAGAGATCTCAATAAGTTATGTCACCATAGGAAAAAGATGGAACCGAAAAAATATAGTCGTCAACAACATATTTTTATATAATGGTGCTGTGGAAATAATGAATCAAAATGAGGATCTAGAACTAAAATTAGTTGAAGAATGTAGACATAGAAATGATTGGCCAAAATAGAAAGATGCAGTTCAAGCATAATTAAAATCACTTTCAAAACATGAAGTTTTTAGACCTGTAGTCTGAATACCTAATGGTGTAAAGCCGGTTGGATATAGATGGGTATTTGTGCGAAAATGAAATGAAAAAAATGAAGTCGTTAAATATAAAGCATGACTAGTAGCACAAGGATTTTTCCAAAAACCTGGTATTGATTATGAAGAGACATATTCTCCTGTGGTGGATGCAATCACGTTAAGATATCTAATTAGTCTGGCAATACATAGAAAACTTGATATGCGCCTAATGAATGTTGTTATAGCCTATATATATGGCTCTTTAGATACAGAAATTTACATGAAAATCCCTGAAGGATTCAAATTGCTAGAAGCATGTGAAGATTCTCAATAAAAATATGCAATTCGTTCGCATAAATCTTTGTATGGATTGAAATAATCTAGAAGGATGTGGTATAATCATCTCAGTGAATATTTGTTGAATGAAGGTTATAAAAATGATCCAATCTCTCCATGTGTTTTTATAAAGAAAAATGGGTCATAGTTTGTTATAATTGCTGTCTTTATGGATGATTTAAATATAATTGAAACTCTTGAAGAGCTCTAGAAAGTAGTTGATTGTTTAAAGAAAGAATTTGAAATGAAAGATCTAAGAAGAACAAAATTTTGCCTCAATTTACAAATCGAGCACTTAGCAAATGAAATTTTTCTTCATCAGTCAACTTACATTAAAAAAATATTAAAGCAATTTTACATGGACAAAGCGCATCTATTAACCATTCCGATGGGTGTAAGATCTCTTGATGAGAAAAAAGATCATTTTCACCCTCAAGAGGAAGATGAAGAACTTCTTGGTCCTGAAGTACCATCTCTTAATGCTATAGGTGCACTGATGTATCTTGCTAATTCAACAAGACCTGAAATTGCATGTACTGTAAATTTGCTAGCAAGATTTAGTTCTTCCCCAACAAAAAAGCATTAGAATAGAGTTAAACACCTATTTCAAAATCTATGAGGGAAAATTGATATGGGATTATTTTATTCTAATGAATTTAGATCACAACTTATTAGTTATGCAGATGCAGGATTTCGATTAGATTCACATAAAGGTAGATCACAAACTGGATATTTGTTTACTTGTGGGGGTACAGCAATATCTTGGCGTTCAACAAACAAACTTTAGCTACTGCCTCATCAAATCATGCTAAAATAATTGCAATTCACGAAACAAGTAGAGAATGTGTTTGGCTAAGGTCAGTGATTCATTATATCCAAAAGATGTGTGGTTTATTGTTGAAAAAAAGGATTCCAACAATATTATTCAAGGATAACATGGCGTGGATAGCTCAATTGAAAGGAGGATATATCAAAGGAGATAGAACAAAATATATTTTTCCAAATTTTTTTTTCACTCATGACCTTTGGAAGAGTAGTGATATAGATGTTCAACAAATTGGCTCATATGATAATCTTGTATATTTGTTTACTAAGACACTACCAACTTCGACATTTGAGAAGTTAGTGTATGGAATTGGAATGCACAGATTCAGAGACATAAAGTGATGATGTCATGAAGGGGAATGGAGTGATATTGTTACTAAGGGGAGACAATAGGGATTAAATATTATATTGTACTCTTTTTCCCTTTCTAATGTTTTGTCCCACTGGATTTCTCTAAAAAAGTTTTTAATGAGGCAACATCAGTGAATATTTAAAATATTGTGTACTCTTTTTCCTTCACTAGGTTTTTATCTCATTGTGTTTTCCTAGTAAGGTTTTAATGAGGTACAATGTTTGCTATGGACATCCAAGGGGGAGTATTATAAATATTATGTTATGGATGTCCATAACTCATAACCCTTAGGATTCTTTTATCCTTAATGTCCTCATCAATGGCATGGAAGGAATTTATATTCTTAATAGCTTATAACCTTCAAATGTTACATAATACACCATTATAGGTGTCATTATATCTTTGCAATATTAGAGTAGGACTTGAATGGTAAGAGGCCTATAAATAGAGTTCATGTTCAAAGCATATGTTCCATTTCTTGTATTGTCTCATCCTTCTCAACTCTTCATATTAACTATATTTTACAACAAAATCTATATTATGAAATTCAATTTAACAGTCTAGATGAAAGTCCACCATACGCATTAGTGTCATATTTCTGATTTGATTTAGCGATAAAATTCGGCTCCTTAATCTAAAATTGATAACGGATTCGATTGTTTATTTACAGATTTGGCGGTTATAAATAAATATTTTTCTAGAAATAACATTGTTTTTATAGGTCGGAAATCTTATTAGTAATGATATTAAGTATCCTTTAAATGCTCCAAAATAAATTAATTAATAATTTCTTTATCCTTAAGTAATTAACTCATCCAAAGAGGTAGTTAAATTATTGATAAAATTTGTAAAAATATATTATTAACTTACATTGGATGTTATGTAAGCTATTACATGCATTTTTTTAATATAATATGACAACTTCTGATAATAGTATATTTAAAAAATAGCAGTAGAGCACCTTTTGATTAAAATAAAAAGGTTAGAAAAATTAATTTTAAACTTTTAAAAGTGAGGGATTTTGTGCAACTATTTCAAAATTTAAATTTTTTTATAAATTTTAACCTTTTTTAATTTATCCTTTTCAAAGCATCATATTTAAAAGTATTTTCTTTTTCACATGTAATGTTTTAACTTACTCATAAAATTTTGTGAAAGGATAAAATTTGAAGAAAGCAATTAATGATCCTTCTTTTTATGCAAAATGACTTATAAGAATAATCATTAATTCTTTGTCAAAGATAGCTTATATATAGGAAATAGGACCAAGGGAATATAAAAAATATGTAGTGTTTATAATTTTTTTTCCTATTACACCATTTCTTCGTTTTTTTTTATCTGTTTATGCAAACAAGAGTGGTGTTTTAAAATTTAAAGAAATAAATTACTTAGATGTAGACATTTATTTCACTCAATCATAAAATTGGAATGATATGAAATTATTGAGAATATTAAAGTCTTAATTAACAATTTGAAACGTACCAAAATAATTAATACTCATTAAACTTCAAATATGACAATTATTTAAAAAATCCAAAATGACAGAAAATTCTAAAACGGCGTCGTATTACTGTTAATAGAAACACAGGCCACTCTTCACATCTGACATCGTTCACGATTTTTCGGCTGAGCCTTATTTTCCTTCCTCATACAATCTTGTTTGGTGAATCAATTATTGATTCATCCTATTTTCTCATCACGAATGCATTGAATTTTGAAAAGAAGGTATTCAATTATTCATATTTAATATTGATATTGCATTAATTCATTAAATATATTTAATATTCTCTCACTAACAGACGCAACTCTTCACAGGCCACAATTGTTCGCCGTTTATTACTTTATTATCAGATTAATTTTGTTTGTTTCCTCATAGAATCTTGTGATTCAGAACCAGAACAACAGAGGCTTTCTCTGTCTGACACAGAACAGAAACTGTCCACTCAAAAGATTTCTATATCATAATATATATGATCATTTATCATGTCCAAGCTCTCTCTATCCTCTCGTCCTATAAATACTCACAAATCAATAGCACACAAAATACAAAAAGAAAATGGGATCCTCAAATCTCAATCTCCTAGCCATTTTCTTCATCATCATCTTCTCAACCTTGGTTTATTATTATCCCATTTGCCAAGCCCAGAACACTCCACAAGACTTCCTTCAAGTTCACAATGAAGCTCGTGATGAAGTTGGTGTGGGTCCTCTCTATTGGAACGAGACTCTCGAGTCGTATGCTCAGAACTACGCCAACGAGAGGAGCTATGACTGCAACTTGGAGCACTCCGGCGGGCCGTTCGGTGAGAACATCGCCGAGGGGTACGACGACATGAAGGGCTCCGATGCCGTCAAGTTCTGGCTCACCGAGAAGCCTAACTACGACTATCACTCGAACTCTTGCGTGAATGATGAGTGTCTTCATTATACTCAGATCATATGGAGAGATTCTCATCATCTTGGATGTGCTAGGGCTAAGTGTGCCAATGGATGGATGTTTGTGATTTGCAGTTATGATCCACCTGGCAACATTGAAGGCGAAAGACCATATTGATTGGGATATTCAGATGACTATAACGTGTTGATTGTCTGTAATGTGAACTATTTATATATTTAGTTGTATACACAAACACATGAATATTATATACATACACACATATAATATCTAGATGTTATGCGCATACTCCTTTAGTTTTATTTATAGGATAGAAAAATTAACCTTTTTTATAAGAAATTTCACTATTTTCTATCTTCATATGTATTTTTTTTGCTTTTATTAAATGTTAATTTTTTGTCTTTATTAACAGTAGGTGTAAAAACTTATTAAATTTTAAAATAAAATTGATAAAATTTAAGATTTTTTTATTAAAAAAATATGTTGGAATCACTATATTGTAAGTTATGTCACGAGATGTGATTCAACAATTAATTATGACAGGTTTTTTTGATATGCAGTGAGAAAAATCGAAACAGGTTATCTTTAGGTTGAAATCCAATCCCGTAAAAGAGAGCAAGGTAGTTCTTGTTGGCCCCACCACCCCCTTTTCTCTCTCCCCCGTTAAAATTAGTGTTTTTTCCCCCTTGGATAACCATGCAAAAGTTAAAGAAATCGTGCCATGTCAAATTTTAAGAGGATTATGTATCCTATTGGTGGTTGATTAAAAATAATAAAACATTTAAATTATCTTGAAATACTTGATGCGTGAACATATCAGTGTATTTGTTAATATCTTTTAAAGATATGATCAAAAGTAACTATCTAATTTTTCATTGCAAACTCCCTAATTTTTTTAATATTTTTTGTTAGAGGATGATTATTAGAGAAGTTATGCTGGCTGAGGGAAAGTACTTCCACGGAATTAGTGTGGATATTAATTTTTGTGAATTTTGCATTTTAATAAAGATGAAAACCTTCTAAGACACATAACAATTCAGCGTATAGTAGTGAAGATATTTTGAAAATTTCGCAATCCAATTTCCTTTTAAATCCTGTTAAAATTAGTTTTGAATGACTCAGATTTTACTGTAATAATGATAAGCATTGATGCTCATCCCGCACTATCAGCAACACGACATGTTCTCATGGGAGATGTGTGGGTCTCGCGTTATGTATGTGTCTATTTCTTTCATCGGATCTTGCTTAGCACTACAGCTATGGAGAGAAAACCCAAAAAAAAAAAAAACGAAACAAAAGGAGAAAATAAAACTATTAATCCCTATATTTTTACCGTGTTCTTGTGTTAGCCATACTTTTTTCATTATTTCAAGTCTGCTAAATTTTATTTGTTTGTAATGTTAGTTCTTATTATCATTGATTAAGTTAAATCTGTTTATGTATATATAATTACTTTTGTTAATTTCTCTTAATAAGTTGGTAAAATTGAAATGAATTGGACATTGTATAATCAAAATAACTGCGTACTAACCTTTTTGTTTATCTGCCCTGTTGTGTCGTCTTTCTTCTGATGCTTTATCTATTGCGCGTTTAAATATTCTAATTTAATGTCTTTCTTGTTGTATTGCCTTTCACTCATTTTGTATACCACTCAGTATAATTTTAATAAGTTATCAGTACAAAAAATAACATGGTTTATATATAAGTTAGCCATCATGAAGTCCTTACATAAAACTTAATTTAGGGATTTAAAGAAATAAAAAAAGAAGTATAGAAACTAATACCAAAATATACTTAAAAAAACTAGAGATCAATAGTTATAATCTTTTTCAAAAAAAAAATTATATTATGGCTGTCGTATTAAGGTTTGTTCATTGGCTGTGTTTCAGTTTGGTATTTGCATTTGAATGTACAGTTGGATTTTGATTGGTGGTGTGATGATGATGATAAGAGTCCAAATCATGACTAACTATTATGAAATAGGAATTTACTATTTTGCAGTTTTCTGCTTTCTCAATAAATTAATTATTTTCAATTTTTCCTCTACGGTAATGTTGTAACGACCTTGTCTAAAATTAAATTTCCAAAAAAAAAATTATGATACAGTATTTTATATCATCTAGTGCATCTAAAATTGTACTTCTATAATGCTCCTTACAAGATTTAACTATATTGACATGGGACCAGAGCTCTTGTTTGTTGTTCTTCGTGTTGTCCATTACTATGATGGAGTGTATGTATGTATTATAAGAATGTATTAACATTTATTATGATGGAGTAACTAATTATTTTAATCTTTATTTTTTTTCTAAGAACTTTTATTATGTTAGATGAATCTTCAAAAAAAAAAATCAAACTCGATATTGATCCGTAATCCAAAAAAAATAAATAAAACTATAACGCATTCACGAGCAGTATTATAAAACATGAATAAAATTAAAAAGAAAATTTTTATACGTATAATTAAAAATAAAAAAAATTATAGGTGTGTTACGAAAATAAAATAATGAACACGCACTATAAACTCGCTTGAGAAATTAAACTTTTCATAGTTATGGCAAAATTGTCGACATTTTTCGTAATAAAAAAATGCAGGTCCCTCACAGCCTTTCAATGAGCATTAGAAATAGTAAATTTTTATTATAAAATACATGGCTCTCATTTTATTGGAGGACATGCCAAACACTAACAACATATTATTAAAATATATTGAAGATGAAATATGTTGATGAAACCAAAGAGGTTCACGGGCCACTAGTGCCATGTGAGTAATGTACATACAGATATGTACATGTGATAACTTGCCGGTTTCATATTAAATACAGACAACATGTCGCAATTGGTTGTTTGGTTGTTTGACTTGTATCTCTGTATCCTTGTCGACATTGCATAGGTTTTTTTTTTTTTTTCTCTTTCTCTTTTTGGGACAATTATGATTAAGTGTTCTCACAATACAATTAAATATTATAAGATTGATTGACAATTTAACATAACAAAATAATAACTATTTTAATTATGATGTTGTGGACCTTTTGATATTTAATTGTATTAGCCGTAATTCTCCTTTTCTTATATATCAAACCACTCGATATGAGAAATTAAATATTAATTAGATTAATTAAATTCTAACTAATCCAAATCTAGTTAAGTAAAATTATATATAAGAGTGGAAAATTAAGCTCCCTATAGCATAAGTGAGTCTTTAACATAGTTACATATAAAAAATTTTTGGTTAAGCTAACGCAACCTCCTATACCAATTGAGTGATATATGTTGTTCATTGTATAGTGATGATATAATATCTATACAAGTGTTGCATGTGTGTGGCAAAGGGAATAATTATTCTTTTTTCCACATATATTTTCACAAAGATGATGACAAGAAGTTCATATTAGGATCGTTAGTAATGGACAGCATAGCATAATTGATGATAAGACATCAATAGTTCTAAGATTTTTTGTCATCATATTAAAAGGCTTAAGGTAAGGGACAACAAATACTAATAATACTGGCTGAGCTTATCAGATCAGGCTATTCATTTTAAACTCATTTTTTAGGGTTCAAGATTGAATGTCAAGGTATTTTTATATAAAAAGATTTCTAACTTCGGCCCAGTCGTGTCTTTAATGAACTTATCTTAAATAAAAGAATTCCTAGATACAATTAAAAAAAAAAAACTGTAGACACCATATAGGGTGAAGGGACAAAAGAAGAGGGCCCCAGTCATGTGTTAAAATGCCTATTCAAGAAATCTAAACATTTAATAAATCTCTCGACATATTAATATTTATTAAGAATATTGAGTTTATCAATAATATGATATTTAAAAAATTTATTAAGGTTCCATTGAGAAGGGGAGGCCATACAATGGAATAATGGTTTTTTTTTTTCGTTTTTCATAGAGGAGGGGGTTTTTTTTTTGCCCTTTTTTTGTTTTGTGTTGGGTGGAATGGTATTTTTCTGTGAATATATATGCCAATGAATTATATTATCCATAAGCTGTAAATAATGCAACTTGTTTCAAGTTTTTTCAATAAATGGTTAGGGGATTAATATATTGCCTGAAACTGTGCGGTGTGGAAGAATTATGAATTTCAATGTTAACATGCTCTTAGGGTAAAAATGTTTTAATAAAAAATTTAAATATTTAAATTAATTAATTTTTAAATTCTAATTTTGAACGAAATATAAATAAAATTTAATCCATTGAGAATTTATTTTGAAATTTTTAAAAAATTAAGAAATTAAGATTTATTCATTTCTTAGATATATAATTTTTCCTTTCAATTTTAGTGGTTTTGATTTTTCATGCCAACCTTCTCAAATCTTCCATATCGTTTTCATTGAAGGAATCTCGTGCATGTGACGCCTGGATGTGAATAATGTCCATCCTTAGCACATGGCTGTGATTTGAATTTGGATCATATAATAAATCCTGTTTTACTTTCCTCTCTTTAATTTTATAAAATTTGAATCTGGACCATATGGATCAAAATCCATAAAATTCTCCCTCTGAAACTTACTAAATTTGAGAGCATTTGAGCCGTAAAATGAATCAAGTGATAATATGTAATGATCTTAACTTCTAAATTAAATTAAATTAATGTTTTCTCCCAATTAATATTATATTTAAATTAGTTTTATAGTAAGTGAAAGGTGGTGGTTTAGTAGAACTTATGCTAGTAACCTTCTAAAAGATCTAAAGTTTGAATTTAAAAAAAATAAACAAAACAAAACCAAAAAAAAAAAAACCAAAACTTGGTTTCAATTTTAATTATAGAAAAATTTTGTCTCATTCCTTATAATATTTTCTCGTGCCATTCCTTGTAATTTTTTCCATGAGCTTTTATTCAAATTCCACTTCTTCATTGTTGGTCAGACTCGCGAAACAGAGCATTTAGTCATCTCATTTCCTTCCTTCTCTCCACCGACACAGACCCTCTAATTCTTCACCGCCATTGCACTCTTCTAATTCTTCATCATCGGCCCACTCCTCTAGTTCTTCTCATCAATTTCAGTTGCTCGCTGTCAGTTTGCGTCTTTCCTCACTGCTGCGTCTCTGCTATTGGGAGAGTTAAGGCCACCGTTCTCTGCTTCTATTTGGTCTAGGTTGACAGCAGCAATCTGTGTATGTTCAGCTTCCATTTTTCTTCCTCCTTAGTTGCTGGACATTGTGCGCTTGTGTATGGTAAGCTCAAATCGTTTTTTGTTTTCTTTTTCAAGTTGTTGACTTTCTGCTCCTTCTCCTTCTGGTTTGAATAGCAGGGACGAAACTTTTCTCCTCTCCTTTAGTGTCATCCGTGGGCTGATGAGTGGATGTTGTCACTGTATTTTAGTTTGTGGTAAGTCACTGGTCCTTTCTTCTTCCTTTCTTCTTCTTCTCCTGGCCGAATGAT